GTCTCTATGTCTCTCTCTGTCTGTCTGGCGAGCGCACGCGCCCTACAGTGAAAATCTCTCAAAAAAAAAAAAAAAAAAAACAACTTAAAGCCAGGAAAAAGTTAGGATTCAGTTCAAATAGTAGGTAGATGAATTTATCAACAGTTCAAGGGAAGACAAAAATCCTTAAATATGGAAATCAAAGCATCAAAGAAAATGAGCAACGTTTTAGTCTAAGGTCAAAAAATTTTATTTCACTAGTTCAGACTCAGGTAATTCATCTCTCTTCTATTGAATTTGCAGTGCTACTGTGGTCTGATATTTCCATTTAAATCCCGGAAGTTAAGATTCAACATTATTATTGATATTTCTAAACTTGTCCCTACCATTAAATTGGCCTTTATCATGGTCATTTCTTGTTTTCTTATTTCTGTCTGTCTCTTTAATTTTTCTGGTATAGCACTCCCTTCAGCACTTCTTGAAGAGCTGTTCTGGAAAATTATTTAGGTTTTGTTTATCTGAAAATACTTCAGGATTTTCTTCCCATATGAAGGATAATCTTGCCAAATATAGTATTCTTGGTTGAAATTGTTTTTCACTTAACACTTTGAATATGTTTTCCCATTTTTTTCCCTGCTTACATTGTTTCCAACGAGAGGTCTGATGTTAGCCTGATGGGATATCCTTTGAAAGTAACTTGACATTTCTCTTTTGCCACTTTTAGTATCTTGTCACTGTCTGTGGTTTTGGTCAATCTGGCTATGGTGTGCCTTGGGAAAAATCTTCTTGGGTTGAATCTTTGTGGGGTCCTTTGCATTTCTTGGGTCTGGATATTCAAGTGCCTCTCTAGGTTTGGAAAGTTTTCTTCCAGGATTTCATGTAACAGATTATCAATGCCCATGTTAGTTTCTTCACCTTCTGGGATACCGATGATCTGTATATCTGGGTGTTAAATGCTATCTAGTATCATTTGTATGTTGTTCTCATTTTTTTGGTTATTTTCTCAGTCTTTTGGGTGAATTTTTCAGGTCAGAGACTCTATCTTTTATATCTGAGATTCGATCTTCATGATCTAATCTGCTTTGTATATTTTCAAGGGAGGTTTGGATTTCCTGTATTACAACCTTCCTCTCTAACAGTTCTGTTTGATTCTTTTTTATGATGTGTATCTCCTCTTTCAAATCGTGCAGGAGCTTCCTCAACCCCTGGAACTCATCTCTTTCTCCTGCACCTTCTGGAGTTTCTTGTCTCTCTTCTCTTGTATCTCTGCTAGCTTTGTCACTATGAATATTTTCAATTATTTGTCTGCCATTGCCATGAGTTCCCTTGTATTCTCTGTGAAGGAAGAGAAGTTACTCTTTTCTCTTAGAGGAGAGATATTTTCTTAGTTTCTCATATTTCTTATGCCTGTGCAGTGGTTTCTGGCCATCTGATGGGCTATATGCTTTTTTCTAGTTTGTGGAGTTAAAGCTGAGCTTTCAGAGGAATGCAGGAGGAGATAGTGAGCAGTCTCTAAACAGTACCGTTTTTCTCCCTTTGCACAGCTGAGCCAATGAAAATTGACAATTAAGCTGACCCTAAAAGTATTCATACATTTGGCTACTGAGAACCTAGACCTTGTGGAAGCTGAGCAGAAAAGCGAGAAAGATAAAAATAAAAAGAAAAGAAAAGAGAGAAAGAGAAACAAAACCAAAAGAAAATATATTTTTTTGACAAAAAATGAAAACCACTCAGAACTCACAAATAGATGGCTGCTGATTGGCTTATCCTGTGGGGGCAGAGGGAAAGGTAAGAATTAAAAGGAGCCAAGAGAGCTAAAAAAGTTTTTATTATTATTATTATTATTATTTTAATTAAAAAGAGAGAGAGAGACAAAGAGACTAAGAGTGCTCTAACCTGGCTGCCTGGGTAGATCTGGGGGAAGGAGGGCAAAGTCTGGGCAGAGGGTCTTCAGTGGTCCCAATCCTCAAATATGTTTATTGAGAAAACTGAAGCTGAGGAAAAGTGGTTCAAGAGATGAATTGCTCTCCAACAGGAAGACTAATGGGCAGTCCTGTGACATAAGTAATATTCATACTTGTTGAATTGACAATAACATTAGAAATTTAGGTTTTTGAAATCCCAATATTAACTTTTTACTCTTACAAAATAATTTAGCTGGGAACCAGCAGTTAGCGTAATGGCTATGTAGCTGGACTCCCACATAGTCGACCGTGGTTCATGTCCTGGACCCGGTGGCTTAAAACTCATGCCAGGCGCATGTGCGTGTGTGCCCAAGATCCCGAGAGGAGAATGGAGGAGAAGGGATTGCGGCGTGACCATCCCCCCTGGGGGGTGATTTCTCACTTTCTGTCTCTATGTCTCTCTCTGTCTGTCTGGTGAGTGCACGCGCCCTATAGCGGAAACCTCTCCAAAAAAAAAAAAAAAAAGAAGAAGAAAATAATTTAGCTGATTATATGAAAAGGTAATTTCATTTTTCTCTCATGTAGGCCTGAATGTTAGCTCATTTGAACTGTATCAAACATTATGCGTATTAAAAGTAGTGTAAGAATTTTACATGCATGAAATTGTTATACTTTCAATAAAGGTCATCATAATCAGTGTTAAAAACAAGAATTAAAGAAAAAGAGAAGGAAGGTGTCATTTAGATTTGTGTGTAAGAACCTGAGGTCTAAGAGGAAACTTACTCACATAAAGCTAAAGTAGATGCTGAATATGATAAACACTGTGCTTTCTTGAATTCAGAACTCAAACTGGAGAAAAGAATTAAGATAAGAGTAGAACCCGGCATCTTCGAATGGACAAAATGGGAGACTGGCAAAACGACCCCGACCCTCATGAACTTGGAAGAGCTAAAGGAGGCAAATTTCAATGTCAACACTGATTATAGGTATGCCACCCTCCAGTCCTGTGCTACTAGGATTTTTCTAATTCCTGTTAAAGAAAATGTTTCATGACACTCATTAAAGAGGGTTAGGAAGACTAAGAGATACCACTGCAGTAGAGTTTTGCAGAAGGAAAGGTGAGAACCAGCTCCCAATGAAAGGAAGAGCAGGGACTGCTAGCCAAAGAGTGGGGTTGGGGTGGAGGATGGAAATTACTATGAGGCCAGGATAACCCTAGCTAAACTGACATACCAGCATTCC